CTCACCATAATCCTGTCAAGACTGTGAAAACATTTTCAATTTTGTCTTTCAGTTGTTGAGAGTGTTACACCTTGGGGGGGAAATGCCACGTAATACAACTTTGTGAACTATTCTTTATTAAGATAAACAATATATTCGCACACCCAGATTTCTGGCCTTTTTCTTGGGGTCATATCCTGGAGAAAGCCAGGATCTTTCTCTCAGCTGATGTAGTAAACATCCCTAATCTGGAGTAAACTTCCAAAATTATTTCTGTTTTAGTTTACATTTGTCACAGGAGATACTGACAACTGTTTGACTGTTGTATGTTACCTTCTTCTTCCCATTAATTTACCATTTACTAACCTATTTAATGCAAGAGCTCAGGGCTGACTGATGCAAAACAATGACTTTTTAAAAACTTTGTCCCTCTGGTGTTTTGTGTGTAATGGAACAGGGGTATTAGGATATTTTCATATTGCAGAATCAAAAACTATGTTACCTTTCTAATCAAATAAAAGATAGGTATACTTTTAGAATAAAAAATAACCTTTTTTAAAAAAATGAAAGAAAACGATGCATATTTGCACCCTGTTTAATGTTTATCCCCATCAGAAATGCCTTCACAGACAGGTATTTTGATGCTTCCAGACAGACTTGTTACTGGAAACTGACTAGCAAAAAGGCAAGTGTTTGACATTATGGGAGACTCACCTAGATCAGAAAGACTGAACAATCAGACTTGGAGAAGTTCCAAAAAGGCTTGGTAGCAGCAACTGATGAACTGATTGACACTCACTCTCAGACACTGCAATGAATTAGCCCTAATCATTTTTTGGTTGTGTTATCACCATGCATGCTTCAAAGAGGGAGAGTCTAATTGGTTTATCTTAGATTAACTTGCATTCACTCCTCCCCCTTGACATGGCAGAGGGTAATAACTTTCCCCCAAGCACCTATTTTGTCTTTGTTCCTTTCTAAAACAGAACTCCAGAGTTTTAGCTGCATACAGGCTCTGTACCTACAGACTAGTTTTCCTTTGCAACCAGGTGTGACCATGTGAGTTGGTTCCAGTCAATAGGATGTGAACAAAAAAATGTTCACAACTGCCAGGTTCTCATAAAGTCACCTTCCTAGGACTTGTTTTTCCCAGTACCACATACAGAAACATGAATACGTAGAATAGGTTAGCTGTGTCCAGTGTTGCTACAGCAAGTGAAAACAGGAGCCTGGGGATGGTAGAGCAACAATATGGAAGGATCAGGATCCTAGAATGACTTTCTGTAGCAAAGCTGCTCTGCCAACTTGAAATGGCAAGTCTTATGTGAGAGAGAAATTAACTCCTACGTCATTTATTTTGAAATTTCTTTGTTATGTCTGGTTACCCTAACTACTATACCCCACGTAGGGGAGGATAAGGACACCAGATTTGCTGACTGTTCTTAACAGGAGATAATCATTTCTTCAAAAGAATTAGAAACCAAGAACCACTCCCTAAAATGGAATTAATTCCTGGCAATTGAAACAATGAATCCAGTACAGGTTTCACAGGGTAAAATATATATTGTACCACTTTCATAGAAATAGGCAATTCAAACCAATTACTGTGTTTGCCTAAAGACTATTTTGAGGACTTCATCCATGACATCACTCACTATTACCTATATTAAAGTGTCCCTAACAACATTTTATTTACAATGAGATACCTAGAGAAAGTGATCTGATTTTGATGAAAAAACTATGTGCATGAAAATGTTTTCCTTTTCATTTCGCACCAAGAATTTTATAGTTGAATTTACAGTTCAGATAACTTTTATATTGTTCCTTATGGTATGAAAAGTAGTGTCCTTTTTAGGTTTTGGTCTTGGATTCTTAACCTAATTTTTATTCTGGATTTTGACTTTTAAACTTTTCTTTATATTTTAGCATTTTATTTTATATGCTTTTGTTGTCCCCAGATTCAACTACTAAAAAATGATTGGTGGACTATAAATAAATGAGAAATAATTCAACAAACAGAACGTTCATAATTTTTAAAGATACACATTCAACTTTTTCTATTTTTTCAGGGAACTTACCTACATTAATCATTACCAAGTTTCTATTCTCTCTCCAAAGTTTCCGTGTGTGTTCTTGATTCTCTTCTCCCTCAAAATGCATGAAGCAGAGCAAATCTATTACTCACTGGCTCCAGAGTGATTTAGTGTGCTAACAAGAGCCTGACTGGGAGAAGTGGAGATGTCAGGGAGCTGGAGCTATGGAAGTAGAGGAAGACATACTGAGAGAGAGAGAGACCGACCTGGGGACTATGTCTTTATTAAGGTCCAGGGGTGTTATCCCTTAGACTTTCCCTTGGGAATTGTGGATTGGCTAGTTTAAGGAAAATATGAGAAAAGAATTTATTATTTTTTGAGATGACGTCTTGCTCTGTCGCCTAGGCTGAAGTGCAGTGTTATGACCTCAGCTCACTGCAACCTCCACCTCCCGGGTTCAAGTGATCCTCCTGCCTCAGACCCCCGAGTAGCTTGGATTACAGGTGAATATACCTTGCCTAGGTAATTTTTGTATTTTTAGTGGAAACGGGGTTTTACAATGTTGGCTAGGCTGGTCTCGAACTACAGACATCGTGATCTAACCGCCTTGGCCTCCCAAAGTGCTGGGATTAAAGGCATGAGCAACTGCACCCGGTTGGGGAGAACTTATTGACGTGGCTTTAGAGCTGACCATTAGGTTTTATCGTGGCCAAAAGCTATGAAATGTTTTGGGTTTTGGATCACTGAGACAAGGAAAAAGTAGGCTATATCACAAACAGCTGCACAGCAAGGAGGAAATTTTCACTAAGCCAAAAGCAGCAGGATATAATTGGGTTCAAACAACTTAGATCAGGCCTAAAAATGGATACTGAGGCAGCAAGTATATGAAACAACAAATTTGTGACACATCACTTAGTGGTTAATAAACCATCTCTGCAATGTCTGTTTTTGAATTTATCTTTAGCACATACTTTATTCAATTCACATGTCCTTGATTAATGTTCTTTGTCCATTAGTGTAAGTTTTGATAGAAATGGCTTTCAAATAAAAATGAATTCAACAGACATTTGCTGAATGCTTATATCAATAAATGTGTGCCAGGTATAGGGTTGGAAGTGAGGGGATGTATTCTCTTCCCAGGTCCACAAGGGGGCGTGGTTTCAAAGGCAAGAATTTCCCAGTGACATGCCTGACCTGCCTTTTTTTCACGTCTCCATCCTGGAGCTTAGAGGTCTTTAGCTTTTGCACACTGAAAGTTAGACTACCCAGGTAAGCTCCCTTTGTTTAGAAAAGCCTGCAAAAAGCTATGGGAGGACTCTGGGCCAAACAACAAATCAGATGTCAGAAATTAAAGATCAATCGCTCCAGTGGAAGTCTAAAGAAACTCCTTTCATAGGACAGAAAACTTAAATAGGGTAGGAATAACTCCCAGGTTAAAAGCCCCCTTCCCCCACATCTGTGCGGACTCTATTTTGGGATCCCCTCTCATGACAGTGTAGGAGCTTGCGCCATATTTATTTCTCCTTTTTCTCTCTCTCAGCCTAATCACTTTCTGCAAAACTCTTTGGGGACCGATATTTGCTTGAATGAGCTCACTGTGCCCAGTGGGGTCCTCTCTCCCATTCTTGAATGAGGCACCAAGGGCCTGGAAGAACACATCCTATTGGGGAGTGACCTGAGCCCATCCTCCACAATTTGGTCGCAGAAGGATGCACTGATAAATTAGATATAGTTGCAGTCTACAAGGAGTGAGTCTATTAAAGCATGTAGACATAATGAATTTTAAATCTACAGTAAAATATGACATGTGCTCTAGCAGATGTTTATGGAACGTGATACAGGGCACAAAAGATGGAGCGATTGACTCCCTGGCAAAAAAAAAAAAAAGGAAAACCTTTAATTAGCAGGGATGTTTTATGCTGAATTTTAAAAGATGATCATGGTTTAGGATGGGATTCATAGTGAAATATCACCCAAATCAAAGTGAAGACAGTAGAGACAACAAAGGCTGGTTGACATAAAGTCAAGTTGCGTGGTCAGCACAGTGCCAGGCAATTCATGATGACTGTAGGGTAGTGAAGGTAATGAAGGCAGTGGCCTGGAAGAGGAGGGCATGCGACATTTATGAGGGACAAGACTAACAGATAGGCACAGCCAGATCTAGAATACAAAGGTTAGACTAAAACTTTTGGTTACAAATTTGCACGTTATAGTAAGACACAAAAAGGCTAACTTAAAAGTATTTTCTCAGGCCCGTGTATATTTTTTCCCATCTTTAAAATTTAGACACTATGTTACTTTCAATCCTAAGAAGGCAGTAATAGGTTTAAAAAGACTATTACTGTAGAGAGTAGGTTTGGACAACCCAATCAGTACGTGAGATTGCCTGTGTTCTGTAATGAGAGTTCTGGAGGGTTTTCAGGGCTATGTCTATTTGGTAGCAACTAAGGAACTAGCAGACACTGTTACATGTAAAACAGGCTTGAAGGAACTCACTAGTAAGTCTCATGATGGGTTTTGGACATGCTGATTTTGTTATAAAACTGAATAGTTTTATTCCTTTTTCAAAACATTTTTAAGTTCAGGGGCACATGTGGAGGTTTGCTATATAGGTAAATTTCAGGTCATGGGTAAATTGCATGTCATGTTTAGTGTACAGATTATTTTGTCACCCAGGTAATAATAAGCATAATATCTGATAGGCAGTTTTTCCATACTCCCCTTCCCCCTACCTTCCACCCTCAAGTAGTCCCTGGTGTCTGTTTCCTTCTTTATGTCCACGTGTACCTCCCACTTATGAGTGAGAACAAGCAATATTTGATTTTCTTTTTCTGTGTAATTTCATTTAGGATAGTAGCCCTCAGCTCCATCCACGATGCTGCACAGAACGTAATTTCATTTTTTTTATGGCTGCTTAGTGTTCTGTGGACACATGCACACACACACACACACACACATCATAAAATTATATATATATATTCTAATTGGTCTTGAGGTGTCTGAGAGAAGACTAAAGCCAAGATAAACACACATACACATATACAAACACACCCACCACAGAATACTAAGCAGCCATAAAATGTGGCTTTCTTTTCTTTATCCAACCAATTGTCAATAGACACTTAACGTTGGTTCGATGACTCTGTTATTATGAATAATGCTGCCCTATACATAGTAGTGCAGATGTCATTTTGATAGAATAATTTCTCTTTTTGGTGGGGGTAAATACCCAGCGGTGAGGCTGCTGGGGTGAAGGGTAGTTCTATTTTTAGTTTTTTGAGAAATCTCCATACTGTTTTCCATGGAGTTTGAACTCATTTATATTCCCACCAACGGTGGATAAGCATTCCCTTTTCTCTGCCACCTCATTAGCATATGTATATTTTGACTTTTTAGTAATAGCCATTCTGACTGGTGGGAGTTGGTATCTCGTTGTGGTTTTGATTTGCATTTCTCTGATGATCAGGGATGTTGAGTTTTTCACATGCTTGTGGACCATGAGTACGCCTTTTGAGAAGTATCTGTTTATGTGCTTTGCCCACTTTTTAATGGGGTTGTTTGCTTTTGCTTGTTAATTTGTTTAAATTCCTTAGACCTCTGTCAGATGCATAATTTGCAAATGTTTGCTCCCATTCTGTAGGTTGTCTGTTTACTCTGTTGATAGTTTCTTTTGCTGTGCAGCAGCTCTTTAGTTTAATTAGGTCCCACTTGTCAATGTTTATAAAATGGAGTATCTTTATTGTAATAATCCAAAATCAGTTATTTAAAGAATTAGAGTACATCAAAAGGTATAATTCACTTGACAAGTCAAAACTTACACAATATTTGCCTTTTATTGTTTTATGCTATTTTCTTCTTGAAAAATGAGATGGTCTATTATTGCAATGCATTCCAAAGGTTCAGAGAGGCACACTGGGAGTCAGATCAACTTAAGTTTCTCTTTATGTTTCTAAAATGTTAATTTCTTAGTCTTATAACAAATCATCTCAATGAATCCTGGCATTTACCTCCAGTTTTGGAATTAGGGATGGTATGTTAAACATGTAAAATTTTTGTTTATTTAGCACATAATTTTTTACAGTTTCAACTTTATATTTTCTATTTCTTAGTCTTTGAAAGAAAAGAAGAAATATTGTTGTGACAAGTTGATAAAATGTTAGTTCTAGATTTTTCCTTGCTTTCAGCTTATGAAAAATATCAAACAAATGTCCTAGGTCATCCATTTTGATGACATTTAGATGTCTATGTGCTAGAGATGAAACAATATTCCTGTAAAACTAAAGCATATGTTATAGAAAAAATGTAAGGCAAACTTTCTTGCCCTCGAATACTTAGAAGGATAGCTTTACATTGGACATACTCCATGCTTTTAGATGGGCATGATTATGCTGTCCAGTAAACAATCTGTCTGGATTCTTTTGAACTAGCAATTGCAGAATAGTCAAATCTTTTCATATGCCCTCTTAATATGAAAAATAATCAGATCACATATTTCTGAAATGGTGACATTGGAGAAGTTAAACTATGTGGAGGAAAACATGTGAGAAAATATATTACAATGCAATTTTCACAAAGCAAAGAAGTTTTCAACTATATCCAGTAATAAATATGAGTGAAGTTTCACAGGAGTTTCCAAAGTTCAAGAAGTTAAAGTATAGAAAATGCTTTTTTTAACCTTTAAAGACAGTTGAATCTGCAGGCAAGACAGCAAACATTATGAAAAATACAAAGACAATGGAAATTTTTAGACTATCATTTTGTGAACCTGGCACTGAGAAAATAAATTTATTAAACCTCCAGCATACTATTTGAAGAGGTACCTATGCAACAATTAGAAATAAACACAAGAATGAGTGGTAGCAATGACAGACATTCTGAAACTTTACCTGTCTCACAAAATATATCTCAAAGTCTAAGTACAGCATCTATCTGGAAAATCATAACAAAGATATCGATGCTGTGTCCTTTGTGACATGCACATGTGCCTGTGTGCACACACACCTAAATATGTTCCCCTTATTTTTCATTCTGCATTTCTGTACAATCCAAAGTTAACTTTGCTCAACATTATGGGCAGCATTCCAAAGGAAAACATTAAGGACTGATGCATGAAAAAGAAAAGCCACCTGTTACTAGGATACCAAAGTCCTTTATCTTCTGACATTCAATAGTAAATTGGAAGCAAGTCAAAGACTCACTCATAATGCAAGAAAGCAGCCTGAAAGACAAGCTGCTTCCATAGACATTTCATTACACACTGGCTTAAAGAACATTGCCCACATTCAATGCATTGGTAGGCCTTGCCATAAAGTAAGAGAGTCACTAAGACCTGGATTAGAAACAATAGAGAAATTTAATTTGAAAGATCTGCATAAGGATGATTATGTCATACTGCCAAAGCAAAGTAGACCTGTGTCTGCACTAACTTTCACTGTGCAAGGCTTAAGCTGAGTTAAATGAGAAAAATGTCTGAATATATTCCAAAGCTTGGAAGTAGTTTTCATACTTTACATGTGCACTGTTACTGTACCTGTCAGGAGGAGAAACACCATAGGAACACAGTTATTAAATTACCCTCAGACTTGTCTTCTCTGTCCTAAATACTACTATTTCCTTTAACATTCCCACAGTTCTCATTCTCCCCCATTTCTGAGCACCTTATTTTTATTTCTTAGACTTTTCTGTCTTCTTCACCTCAACTTGCTGCACTGAAATAACTTGGTCAAATGGCTTTGCAGCGTAGCAATTGGTATTTCAATTTGTGGAAGTGGTACAGATCTGTCACACCAATTTTCATATAACATATTGACATATACATAAATTTTAATATTTTCTACTGATGGTAGCATTTATGTGAGGCATCTAGGGAATTTCTACATGATTAATTAGAGTCTCAGTACAGTATGATTTGAGATTCATTGATGCTTAGATTTAGTGGTTGTCTTGTTACTGTAGTAAGGTGTTATGTAAAAGCAATTTAAATATACATTTTTCTGCAGTACTTCAAAGGTAGTTATCATATGCACTGAAACTGCATCACTTAGTGTTCTTCTCTTTTCAGAGAAATAAGAAAATCCATTCTGGGTGATTTTAGCCATAAGAATACATTTGGTTATGTTTGCACAGCTGTTTTCTCTCTGGTCCCAGCCTCATGCTCTGAGCAGTATAGTACCGAGACAGTAGTATTTAAAAGAACTCTTGAGACCAGGTCATTTATGCCAGCAGGGTGTTTTGTAAAATTAACACATTGCACTCATCAAAGGGCCATTGTAATAGAAATCTGTTCTTTTGCAGTTGACTCCAGAGACCACAGATCATTTTTCAAAATGGATACATGTTTTTAAGAAAGAAGCCAAGAGATGATATTAGGTTGTTAAGGGAGGTGACATTGCTGACAAGGACAAGCTAAAATATATGAAACAGAACCATAGTCAAGCTTACCTTACAGTTCTAAAAAGTGACAGCTACAATCATTAAAAAGAGACTGTGATAAAAGAAATTTTTTAAAAATCCTCAAGATCTTTTCTTTTTCATACTCTTTATCTTAGCACATTTTAAAGAATGAGCCGTAGGACTTTGGATCTTATAGGAAGGGTCTTTGGTATCTGAGGTCTTTTCCAGCAGTTATTATGCAGTATTTTCCAGGAGACCTATGTTTGACTCCAGTTAGGCCCCTGGTTGACCAGGTAACCACTTAGCCACTTAATCATTATAGGTTTCAAGTTCTTTATTTGTAAAATGAAGGGATTAGACCAGTATTTCCACCACACCATAAGAAATATGTTTTGATATATAATTTGCTGGTTTCTACCCATTATTGGTAGAACATATTTAGATTAGTTCAAGAGAATAAGGAAGTACACATCTCACATCCTGTGAGACAAAATAGGGAGTTGCCCATGCCTCTGAGAGGTTCCCCATATCACAGGCCTTGTACAAATTTCTGGGCACCCTCCCAACCTGACTCAAGAATGTGATGCCCCAGACTGTTAACAAGTAAGTGGTCTTGTTTTATTTCCACAAACTCAGTTTGTAAAAACTCTACGAATTAAATGCATTTTCTGTTACCTTTAGGGGGAAAGAGAATATTTTGAGGTATTTCATCAACAATCTCCTGTTAATTGGCATTATGTCTGTATTTAAGAAAAATAAGCACATTTAACATATCAGATAAAATGTAGACAACATTATCATTTCAGAGCAGTTACTGCAATCTGCATTCTTAGGAATTTGCATCACTGAGTGATGGTCAGCTTAGCTGAACAAAAAAGAACTCAGCTATGCTTTGCCCTCACACAGTGTACACACAGCATTGTTTATTCCTGCTATTCCCAGTTATCAGACCTCATAAGTGAAGGAATTGATGGTGTAATTTATAAGCTATATAAATTATTAATAACAACTGAATTTTCATAATGTTAGACTTACTCAAAAGTTGTCCATAAATAGCAGACAGTTTGAATTGGGTTGTGCAAAAAGGCACATGTAGATAATTTTGGAAGACTACAATTTGTCTCTTACAAAGGTAGCTTGTAGGTAGGGTGTTACTCCCTTTATTCCTGTCTCTGCTTAATCATTATCCATGACAACAACCAAAGGACAATTGCCAGCTTGTTTTAGACTATTCACCTAGGAAGCTTAAGCTATAATTCTTACTACAAATTAGTATCTTATTTTTCTGATTATAAATACATTCCTATATAACTAAAATAGTGCAGAAATGAATAAAACATAAGTGTGCTATAATTGGCAGGAAGGTGAGGATGAGTTGAAACTCAGGGATATCTGTTGCATGCATATTATTTATACTGTGTCCAACAAAAGAATGAAGCATTTTGTTGAAAATCTGAAACTATGAGGAAGAATTTATACTGTGTCTGTTTTCCAAATATGGTTATTCAAACAGTAAAGAAGCGCTTAGGAAACATAAAGACAACCATGAAAAGAATGAGTCATGGTACATAAAATATTTTGTGGATGATCCTAGTTTTCCGTTTTATTTTGTAACAAAACACAAAATTTAACCTGTCCTTTCAAGGTCAACAAAATAGATTGCAACATAGCAAGACAGTCTAATACTCTGAAACCAGATTTAATAATCTATAGAAGTAATAGAACAAGAATCAAGCATATATGTGAATAAAAGGAAGACATACCAAAAGGCTGGCTTTTCTTTGGGAGGCAAAGGTGGTATAATAGCCTGAGGCTATTAGGCTATTATACCTGGTCAAGAGCAGCTTGGTCAGGGTAGCAAGATCCTGTCTCTACAAAAAAAAAAAAAAAAAAAAAAAAAAATTTAGCCAGACATGGTGTAGTCCTGTAGTTTCAGGTACTCGAGAGGCTGAGGTGGAAGAATCACTTGAGCCCAGGAGCTTGAAACTGCAGTGAATCATGATCACACCACTGCACTCCAGCTTGGGTAGCAGAGTGAGACCCTGTCACACACAGAAAAAGGCAGACTTTTCAGCACGTTTATATGAAAGAAGTATGAATAATTGACGACGACAATGTCTTTTCTTCTAAAATAAATGATCTTATAAACAAAGAATAAGAAGGTCCTTCCTTAATATGGAAATAAATGTATTTAAACCAGAAGTAAATATAATTAACATGAAACAGTAGAGGCATTAGTATTACAATCTCTTAAAGAATAAAACAAAAATTAGGCTGCTGAATTTGAAGTAAGAATATAAAGTAAACACTAAATTCATGTTAATCCTGGCTTCTTTTATCTTCATTCAGTAACAGTCAACATTTCAAGAATATTTATTAGGCTCCATTGATGTGCCAGGAAATTAGTGAGGTCTTGAGAATTTTAGTGATGAGTAAGCACGGCTGTTATATTTAGGGAGTTCCTATTTTAAAGGGGATATAGATAAATAGATAATCAATATGAGATGGTTTTGACACCAACAGTGATAAAGGTAAAGAACTGGTTGCTAGGGAACCGTTTAAGAAGGGAACACACTGTAAGAAGGAGTGGCCTTTCTACTAAATCTTAACAAACTGGTAGGAATCACACAGGTGAGTAGATTGAAGAGGAGGTGCAGACTATAGATAAAAGGAGAGAGACATGTAAAACACTGGCATACAAGGTAGCACAATATATTTAAAGAACTGCAAATATTTAGAATAATTTTCAAGAAAGTTGTTTTAACAATCCCCAGTAAGTCAAGTCACACTAACTTTTGGAATTTTATATATTTTGAAAACCAAAATATTACATTATTGCATTTCCTATGGGTATGAGTTGGTATTATTGCAGGAAAGCCTTTCTTTATCATTAATTTGACTTGATTGCCAGTTATAGGAAAGACTTCATACATGCCAATTCTTGAATTGTTCATTACTTTTTATAATTCATTTACTCAAACATCAATGCCTTATCTCTGAGGTTACTTTTAATATCTGCCCCCAGATAGTCCATAATACTCCCAGGTTTCTCAAAACCATAGGGCTAGCCACATAGGATTGTCCTGGGAAACCTTAGCCATTCATTATTTGTAGAAGTAGTACTTGTTTAGGTCATAGCTGCAAGCCAGAGAAGACTCGCATCAATCTGGAAATTATCTTCATGAAGCTGTTACTTTTCCCCACATTTTTACATCTTTCAAGTCTTTAAAACCCTTAGGAATTTTCTGTGTTTTTCTGAGCTAAAACCTTGTGTCTATAAATAAGTTCTCACATTTCATTTCAGAAAGATATCTTTGTTGACCTTTGAAATGAGCTTCATCTTTTGTTTGCAATTTGAAATCCATCTTGAGGTGAGAGTAGAGTTTCCATTGCAGCTGGAAAGCTTGCAATCTTTGCCTATGGACTTTAGCAACTAACCCCTGTAGCTTGGCAACTATGTCTAGGACACATTGAGCAGACAATAAATACACATTGAGTAAATAAAGGAATCTTTAGGGATCTGCATTCACATTATTGATTAGATAGTCTTTAAGGGCCATTTTAGCTCTAATTTTTTTAAATTTATTATACAAGTTCTGGGGTACATGTGCAGAATGTGCAGGTTTGTTACATAAGTATACATGTGCTATGGTGGTTTGCTGCATCCACCACTCCATCATCTACATTAGATATTTCTCCTAATGCTATCCCTCCCCAATTCCCCCACCCCTTGATGGGCCCTGGTGTGTGATGCTCCTCTCCCTGTGTCCATGTGTTCTCATTGTTCAACACCCATGTATGAGTGAGAACATGGAGTGTTTGGGTTTCTGTTATTGTGTCAGTTTTCTGAGAATGATGGTTTACAGCTTTATCCATGTCTCTGCAAAGGACAATGAACTCATCCTTTTTGATGGCTGCATAGTATTCCATGGTGTTTATGTGCCACATTTTCTTTATCCAGTCTATCATTGATGGGCATTTGGGTTGGTTCCAAGACTGTGCTATTTTGAACAGTGCCACAGTAAACATACATGTGCATGTGTCTTTACAATAGAATGATTTATAATCCTTTGGATATATACACAGTAATGGGATTGCTGGGTTAAATGGTATGTCTAGTTCTAGATCCTTAAGGAATCATCACATTGTTTTCCACAATGGTTGAACAAATTTACACTTCCACCAATGATGTAAAAGTGTTGTAAAAGTGTTCCTATTTCTTCACATCCTCTCCAGCATCTGTTGTCTCCTGATTTTTTAATGATCATCATTCTAACTGATGTGAGATGGTATCTCAATGTAGTTTTGATTTACATTTCTTTAATGACCAGTGATGATGAGCTTTTTTTCATGTTTCTTGGCTGCATAAGTAAACATTTATCTTTTGAAAAGTGTCTGTTCTTATCCTTCACTCACTTTTTGATGGAGTTGTTTTTTTCTTGTAAATTTGTTTAAGTTCTTTGTAGATTCTGAATAATAGCCCTTTGTCAGGTGGGTGGATTGTAAAAATATTTTTCCATTCTGTTAGTTGCTGGTTCACTCTAATAATAGCTTCTTTTACTCTGTAGAAGCTCTTAAGTTTCATTAGATCCCATTTGTCTATTTTGGCTTTTGTTGCCATTGCTTTCGGTGTTTTAGTCATGCAGTCCTTGCCTATGTCTATGTCCTGAATGGTATTGTGTAGGCTTTCTTCTAGAGTTTTAAGTCTTTAATTCATCTTGAGTTAATTTTTATATAAGGTAGAAGGAAGGGATCCAGTTCAGTTTTCTGAATATGGCTAACCAGTTTTCCCAGCACCATTTATTAAATAGGGAATCCTTTCCCCATTGCTTTTGTCAGGTTTGCCAAAGATCACATGGTTGTAGATGTGTGGTGTTATTTCTGAGGCCTCTGTTCTGTTCCATTGGGCTATATCTCTGTTTTGGTACCAGTGTCATGCTGTTTTGATTACTCTAGCCTTGTAGTATAGTTTGAAGCCAGGTATCTTGATGCCTCCAGCTTTGTTTTTTTGATTAGGATTGTCTTAGCTATGTGGGCCTCTTTTTTTGGTTATATATGAAGTTTAAGGTGTTTTTATTTTCCAGTTCTGTGAAGAAAGTTAATGGTAGCTTGATGGAGGATAGCACTGAATCTGTAAATTACTTTGGGCAGTATGGCCATTTTCATGTTATTGATTCTTCCTAATTATAAGCATGGAATGATTTTCCATCTGATTGTGTCCTCTCATTTCATTGAGCAGTGGTCTATAGTTCTCTGTGAAGAGGTCCTTCACATCCCTTGTTTGTTGTATTCTTAGGTGTTTTATTCTCTTTGTAGCAGTTGTGAATGGGAGTTCACTCATGATTTGACTCTCTATTACTGGGTGTATAGAAATGCTTGTGATTGTTGCACATTGATTTTGTATCCTGAGACTTTGCTGAAGTTGCTCATCAGATTAAGGAGATTTTGAGCTGAGATGATGGGGTCTTCTAAATATACAATCACATCATCTTCAAATAGAGACAATTTGACGTCCTCTTTTCCTAATTGAATATCCATTATTTCTTCTTCTTGCCCAATTGCCCTGGCCAGAACTTACAATACTATGTTGAATGGGAGTGGTGAGAGATGGCATCCTTATCTTGTGCCAGTTTTCAAATGGAATGCTTCCAGTTTTATCCCATTCAGTATGATATTGGCTGTGGGTTGGTCATAAATAGCTGTTACTATTTTAAGACACATTCTATCAATACCTAGTTTATTAAGAGTTTGTAGCATAAAGAGCTGTTGAATTTTGTCGAAGGCCTTCTCTGCATCTATTGAAATAATTGTGGGGTTTTTGTCTTTGGTTCTGTTCATGTGATGGATTATGTCTATAGATTTGTGTATGTTGAACCAGCCTTGCATCCCTAGGATGAAGCCAACTTTATTGTGATGGAGCAGCTGTTTGATGTGCCGTTGGATTCAGTTTGCCAGTATTTATTGAGGATTTTCGTATCAATATTCATCATGGCTATTGGCCTGAAATTTTCTGTTCGTGTGTCTGCCACGTTTTGGTATCAGGATGATGTTGGTCTCATAAAATGAGTTAGGGAGGATTCCCTCTTTTTGTATGGTTTGGAGTAGTTTCAGAAGGAATTGTACCAGCTCCTCTTTGTACCTTTGGTAGAATTTTCAGCTGTGAACACTTCTGGTCCTGGACTTTTTTGGGTCCATAGGCTATTAATTGCTGCCTCAATTTCAGGCCTTGCTTTTGGTCTATTCAGGGGTTCAACTTCTTCCTGGTTTAGTCTTGGTAAGGTATAAATGTCCAGGAATTTGTCCATTTCGTCTAGATTTACTGGTTTGTTTGCATAGAGTGGTTTATAGTATTCTCTGATGGTAGTTTGTACTTCTGTGGGATCAATGGTGATATTGCCTTTATCAGTTTTTATTGCAACCATTTGATTCTTCTCTTTATTAGTCTGGCTAGCGGTCTATCTATTTTGTTAATCTTTTCAAAAACCAGTTCCTGTATTCATTGAATTTTTGAAGGGTTTTTTTGTGTCTCTCCTTCAGTTCTGCTGTGGTCTTATTTATTTCTTATCTTCTGCTAGCTTTTGAATTTGTTCTTGCTGCTCTCATTCTTTTAATTGTAATGTTAGGGTGTCAATTTTAGATCTTTCCTTCTCATGTGGGCATTTAGTGCTACTTACTGCTTTAAATGTGTCCTAGAGACTCTGCCTTCATTATTTATCCAGTAGTCATTCAGGAGCAGGTTGTTTAGTTTCCACGTAGTTGTGCAATTTTGAGTGAGTTTTTGAATTCTAATTTGATTGCACTGTGGTCTGAGAAACTGTTATAATTTCCATTCTTTTGCATTTGCTGAGGAGTATTTTACCTCTAATTATGTGGTCAATTTTAGAATAAGTTGATGTGGTGCTGAGAAGAATGTATATCTGTGGATTTGGGGTGGGGAGTTCTGTAGATGTCTATTTGGTCCACTTGGTCCAGATCTGAGTTCAAATCCTGGATATCCTTACTAATTTTCTGTCTTGTTGATCTAATGTTGACAATGGGGTGTTAAAGTCTCCCACTATTATTGTGTGGGAGTTTAAGTCTCTTTGTAGGTCATGAAGAACTTGCTTTATGTATCTGGGTGCTCCTGTATTGGGTGCACTTATATTTAGGATAGTTAGATCTTCTGGTTGCATTGATCCCTTTTCCATGACGTAATGCCCTTCTTTGTCTCTTTTGATCTTTGTTGATTTAAAGTTTATCAGAGACTAGAATTGCAATCCCTGCTTCTTTTTGCTCTCCATTTGCTTGGTAAATCTTCCTCCATGTATTTTGAGCCTATGTTTGCATGTGAGATGGTTCTCCTAAATATAGCACACTGATGCATCATGACGCATTCTCCAATTTGCCAGTCTGTGTCTTTTGATTGGGGCATTTAGCCCATTTACAATTAAAAATAATATTGTTATGCGTGAATTTGATCCTGCCATTTTGATGTTAGCTGGTTGTTTTGCCCGCTAGTTGATGTAATTTCTTCAGAGTCAATGGTCTTTACAATTTGGTGTGTTTTTGCAGTGGCTGGTAGTGGTTGTTCCTTTCCATGTTTAGTGCTTCCTTCAGGAGCTCTTGTAAGGCAGGCCTGTTGGTGACAAAATCTCTCAGCAGTTGCTTATCCATAAAGAATTTTATTTCTTCTTTGCTTATGAAGCTTAGTTTGACTGGATATGGTATTCCGATTTGAAAATTCTTTAAGGATGTTGAATATTGGCCCCAACTCTCTCCTGGTTTGTAGGATTTCTGCCAAGAGATCTGCTGTGAGTCTGATGGGCTTCTCTTTTTGTGTAACCCGATCTTTCTTTCTGGCTGCCCTTAGCATTTTTTCCTTCATGTCAACCCTGGTGAATCTGATGATTATGTGCCTTGGGGTGCTCTTCTCGAGGAATATCTTTGTGGTGTTCTCTGTATTTCCTGAACCTGAATGTTGGTCTGTCTTGCTCACCAATCAAATGTAGATTTGGTCTTTTCACATAATCCCATATTTCTTGGAGGCTATGTTCATTTCTTTTCACTCTTTTTTCTCTAGTCTTGTCTTCTTGCTTTATTTCATTGAGTTGATCTTCAATCTCTGGTATCCTTTCTTCTGCTTGATTGATTCAGCTATTGAAATTTGTGTATGCTTCAGGAAGTTTTAGTGCTGTATTTTTCAGCTCCATCAAGTCATTGATTCTCTTTTCTATACTGGTTATTCTAGTTAGCATTTCATCTAACTTTTTTTTTCAAAGTTCTTAGTTTTCTTGCATTGTATTAGAACATGCTTCTTTAGCTCCCAGAAGTTTCCTATTACCCACCTTCTGGAGCCTGCTTCTGTCAATTCATCAAACTCATTCTCTATCCAGTTTTATTCCCTTGGGGGAGAAGAGAGTTTCTGGTTTTTGGTGATTTCAGCCTTTTTGTGCTGGTTTCTTTCCATATTCTTGGATTTATCTACCTTTGGTTTTTGAAGTTGATGACTTTTGGATGGGGTCTCTGAATGGATGTTCTTTCTGCTGATGTTGTAGCTGTTTCTGTTTGTTAGTTTTCCTTCTAATAGTTAGGCCCCTCTGCTGCAGGTCTGCTGGAGTTTGCTGGAGGTCCACTCCAGACCCTGCTTGCCTGGGAATCACTCACAGGGTCTGCAAAACAGTGGAGTTTGCTGCTTGTTCCTTCCTCTGGTAGCTTTGTCCCAGAAGGGTACCCATAGATATCAGCCAGAGCTCTCCCGTATGAGGTGTCTCCCAGTCAGGACACACAGGGATCAGGGAGCCACTTGAGGAGGCAGTCTGTCCCTTATCAGAGCTCAAGCATTGTGCTGGGAGATTCATTGTTCACTTCAGAGCTGCCAGGCAGGGACATTTAAGTCTGCTGAAGTTGACCTGACAACC